GTCTCTTTTCTTAGGTGAGGGAGGGTGGGGGGGGGGGTGGGGTGGTGGGTCGGGGGGGTGGGGGGGGGGGTGGGGGGGGGGGGGGGGGGGGGGGGGGTGATTGTGAATGGGGAGAAGAGCCACACCTACATCCACCCACGCTCACACCCTCAAGGTTTCGATTTCGTTGCAAAATTTAAAACTTGTTAAAGTTCCGCATGGTACCAATTTTTGTTTCAGTACAGGCTTATTCGTTGACGTTTGAAAACTGTGTATATATGTGTCATTTAGTTGCATCTTAAACGGTGGCTAGTCAAAACTTTCTAACGCAAAGAAGCCTATCTTGATGATATACAGTAACAGTCCATTTCAAACGCTTCTTGACAAAAAAGAAATTTTTCTTGTTTGTTGGTTTATTTATTTCTCGAATAAATATGTTACATTCAAAAATAGCAATGCACAATATGTTCACATATTCATTCATAAATCTGTACAACTCGCCAATCGAATTTAAGAGGATGTCTGAAACAATTGCTGCATCTAGAAAAGGAATTTTGCAGACGTGCGATGATAACATGAGGTTGAGGAGTTTGATTCGTCATGAGTCTATCACGTGCACGAAGGATGCCACAGTAAGAACATGTCACTGTAATGTATCGCACTTATTTTGGCATTGGAGTAATGACCAAGACCTATGGCCAATAGGCTTTCAAAGATGAAAGTTAGCTTTTACTATGTTCAAAGGTTTGTCAACTTATCGTATTTAATCATACTTACTGAAAACGTATTCTTTGCAATTCAGTGAAGTGATAATATTAAAAAGCTTTGTGTTCTTCGATGAATTTGGAGCATGCACATAGTATTTATATTATATTTGTAATGTGTAAAATTTCCAACTTAGTTTGCGATTAGGTAGTTTCTTTTCCTCTAGAAAATATCTATCATAAAACTTCTCTTCAGATCTTAAAATACACTTTTGAAATGGGAATAATTACAGTGGAAGAAAGACGTCGTTTTTTCACAATTTATTTAAAAACACAAGGCGTAAATTCATTCCTCTCTTAATAAAAGAAGGATCATAAATAAACAAAAGATGACAGAATTGGTAATATATTTGTTATTGCGAAACAAAATAGAGAATCATGAGTCGAAGAATCACTTGAGCTTAATTTTTTTTTATTTCCATTTCAACGACGCAATACTTTTTTGTTTTTACGGTCGTTGTCAACATATTTCGGAAGTAAACGGAAGAAACCGACAAGGTAGTGGAAGAGATACGATGAGAGGAAATATGACAATTTTGATGTACGTTAAAATTAATAAGTGGAAAGCTACAATTGCAGACAAATGTTTCGCAACTATGCAAAATCCATTGAAAAAAGGTTCTTTATTTTGAAACTTCTACTATAAGAAGAATTTAATGGATCCTCATAGCAAGCAGAAATTTGAGCTTCAGTTCCTTACACAGGCTATATAAAGTCGACATCAAAGGGTGTGGGTGTGAGGTGTGGGTGTGGACGTGGGTGTGGGTGGGGTGTGGGTGTGGGTGGAATGTGGGTGTTTATGTTGTCTTCACTCACACCCACACATATCTCACATCCTCACTACACCACACACCCACATTCACCGAAACCAAGCTGATAATCAGAGCAAGACTCAGAGTTAACCCCGCACCTACGCCCACATCGACATCCAGAGGTTCACCTATACTCAGACGCTTTAGGAGAGAGTCCGCCAGAATATCGACCAAATTTTAACGGCATCGTCAGTCGTCAAAATTTTGATTTTGATTTAAGGTTTACCATTCGAAAGCCCGTGGAAAGTTATGCTTCAATCCTAATTTTTAGCCCTTTCTGGAAATCCTATTAAGAGATATGAAATCATCTTTGAACCCACCCTCAAGCGATATTTTATTATTTCGATAAAATATAAAAAATTCTATTTAACACTTTATTCCAATAGATTGTATTCTTGAATATCATTATTTTTACTGTCAAATAACGTATTTTGATTAGATCTATCAGATACACTGCTAGAGATCCGGAATTTCAAATATAAAACGTGATCTAATCCATCATTTTCTCTCTAACATACATGCAAAAAAGACCATTTTTTAATGAAAATTTTTGTATTTTTGACCTATAAGTATACTAACATGGTTGCCTCCCAAAAATCTTTTACCATCAGAAGATAGCCCGTGAAAACCTGCATCTTTTCATATACAAACGAATACGATCGCGCTTGTTATGGCGATTCAATTTTTCACCACAAGTATGGGCACTATATGGTATTTTCTTGTTTTGATCATTCTTCTTGGTTTTCATAGAATTTTATCATATTACTATGACTGAAAATGTATATATGATTTCAAATTTGTTTTCAATGTTAAAGTATGGGTCTATTTCTCCTATAGAAAAATATTTTCTCATATCACAGACTCATTTCAAGGTCCTAATATCTTATGATTTGCAAGACAAACACTGGCTGGGTGTTGGGTGTTGGGTGTTGGGTATGGGTGTGTGTGTGTGTGAGTGTGGGTGTGGGTGTGGGTGCGGCTGTGTGGGTGTTAGAAAGAGACTGATACCCACACCCACACCCACACCCACCCCACCCACCCTCATATTTTATAAGCTAAGAAAACAATAATTAGAAAACTAAAATTATGAATTGATTTATAGCTTTTATCAATAAATAGTCCAATGATATGTATGAATAGAGAATCATTTCATGTAACACAAATATAATAAGAATAAATTGGACGTATTCAACTTATGATTCCAATAATATTTCTAGCTATGTATATGTAGAAACTAAACACTATCTTCTTTAGAGAGCTGCGGGTTCAGGCCTAAAAATTTAGCTCTTCCAGGGCCCGAATCCAGGTCTATACCTAAGTTTAAATTCAGACCCTGTCTATATTAAGTTTCAAATGGAAATATATAACCATAACAATTGAATTCAACGAATATTGCAAGAAAACAAGCGAAAATAATTTTATAATCATTTTATCTTTAAAGTGACCACGAAAGAGTTAAGCTTTGTATGTTTATCTGTTCATGTACACTGAGAGTACCAAACATTAGTGAAAAAAAGGACCGGGTCTAGCCTCGACTGGGTCTGGGTTCGAAAAAACACGGACCCGCAACTCTCTAATCTTCTTGTACATAAAGTTCTACGAAGTCCAACAGTTATAGATACAACAGTATTTACAATAATAACAGCATATCGAAACGATCAAAAGTTTTCTATGAAAACTTATGGGCTATCCTTTGATGAATTAGTCAGATTGGATTATTTTCTATCGAAATTATAAAAATATCAACAATTCAATTGTTTGAATTCATTTATTTTTACTTAAAATTCTACGTATAAATTATAAATATTATGACATGGTGTGTGTGGGTGGGGTGTTGATTTGATGTACATTCACAGCGACAGATCCATCTATCTACACCCCACAACCACACCGCACATCCACACCACACACTCACACCCACCCCTGAGGGCTATATCTGTAATTGGGATGGGGAGCTGCCAAAACCTCGAAATGAAAACTTACACTCTCTATTTTCTTCGAAAATTACGTGACTTCCACAAAAGCAGTATTTAGTCGAGTAATTAAATAAGTCAATTCGAACAATTGAATGGAATCAGTAATATTGATCGAATTTCAAATTCAACCCTTGTTGACATAATTGATCGAATTTGAATCATTTTCTGTTTCATTTCTTCATTCGGTTCGATTTTTCCGAAGACATTCAACGTTATTTCTTTCAATGCATGACAATTATCAGCTAGTTTTTCCCATAAATATAAATCTAAAAATTCATTCAGTTTGTCGCGGTAAGTTAGTAATCGAAAATGATGAATTCTATTCATATTTTGAATAAGATCAATTATTTTCTTAAAAGAGCATGGTTGAAATCGATGATTAATGTCATTGATTGAAGTAGAAGTAGGGTTGCCCAAATCGAGAATAAAATATTTAATTGATGGATTGGTCATTAATCTTAAATGTAATTCATTTTCCGAAGAATCACTGCATACTACTACTGAACAATGGACTTCAAATCGACTAATCGGTTCGAAAACATTATTCAGAACATTATTCAAATGAATGAAATCCAATTCATTGTCATACCAAAGAGAAAGACATTTTAAATTAGGAAAATATGTTTGAAAAGATTTCATTAAATTCACTTCTTCAAAATTAATCAATTCTAATGACTCAATATTTGCAAATAAAAGTAATGAATCTAATTCGGACGGTGTTTGATAAGAATATGTATCAAGACGTAATGAAGTAACTTGTTGAGAATTTAAGGCATTGAAAACTGTGCTACTATTAGATGCATTTGACCGTTGCGATATATTTTCTTCGGTTTCATATTCATGTAACATCGACAAAACAGAACATAGACGTGGATTAACTGATTCATTAAATCTATGATTTTTGACTAGATCAGGAATAGCATCTTTACAAATGCCACTCTTGACTAGAAATTCTATTGCCTACAAAGCAAAGTATGTATACAACATGATAATATTTTTCACAGTAGATTCTTTTTTATACAGTGTGGTAGATCAAATAATAAACTTACTAATTCTCTTTCATTTTTAATAAATTCTTTTGTGAAGTTATTTAATTCGGTCAACACATTATCTCGTGTAGACATATGTCCAGTTCGCAACAAATTACAACCAGTTATCAATGTGTCGGATTTATATTCACATATTAAAGCATTATTCATTTTCTCTATAAAATGTGGCTTGATACCAATAATAATTGGATATTGATTCATGTCAGTATCAACCAGAAGTTCATTCGAGAACATTTCTCTCCAAACATCTTTTAACCTAAATTAGAAAAATAATTTAAAATCTGCCTGTCTTGTGATGTTCGCTTGCAAGATTTCATTTTATAGATTACTTATTTTCATTCGATTGCCATGTAATATCCCATGGCCATACAATATAATGTTCGAGTAAAAAATCAATAACTGTTGTCGAACTCAATACTTTCTGACAAAACTGATTATTCATAAGACTTCTATTGTGGTGTATATAAACAAGCACTGGACGACACTAAATTGAAATATATATATTTCTATTTTGTGCTTTTTCTTCTTACAATCATAAAAATGATGGGCAACGGCTCACCTCTTTCATTGATTTTGGGCTGAAGGCTTCTGTACATGCATCTTGTAACGAACCCCTGAAGAATACAGGACAAGCATCAAAGCTTTGTTCGAAGTTTTGAGACAAATATTCAATAGCAGAAGATTCGTCTTTGACTTCGGCAGGAACTGTTTAAACAGATTATTAACATTAATAATCGATCTTCTTCTTTTCGTAAATAAGAAGATAACTTACTAAGACTTGGTGTGATAGGAGTATAGTCCTCGTCGAAATCTAGCTTTTCATCTTCTTCTGAATCTATTTCCTAGAAAGAATGATACATGAATAACTCTTGAACAATCACATATAAAACTATAAATAAAATGACCAAATTACATGTTATACTTACCAAAAAAAAACGGAAAACATTCTTACCATTCTTATTCTGTGTTTTTAGTTGTATATAGCAGCAACCGTTAGAATGATGAAAGGTACAATCTTCTGCAATAAAATTCAGAGTTTAAAAGAACCTAATACCACTAAAAATGTTTCTTCCACCTTTGTGTTTTATTTTTAACTAAAATGAATCGTAATGAAAAAGAGAAACTCACAAGTTTACTGAGAGGAAAGACAGTGCAACACCAAAAATGCTTCTAAACTGAAAACAAGCATCAATAATATAGAAATATGAAAATATGACAATGATATTTTGTGCAATCACATGTTCATGAAATTTTATGTATGAATTTAGTTGGAAAAAACCAAGTTTATTTTCTAACAGCACTACACTCGACTTAATTTTCATTGGTTACGTTTTTACCAATTAACGAGGTGAGCCATGTAAACATTTTGTCAAATAAGAGCGCGTCTGCTAGTACGGACCCACACGGCAAAGAGTATAGTGAAATAAGAGAAACAAAAGCGACCCCAACATGATTAATGTATTCCGATTTTGAGAAGGACCAAATATCACTTAGGTATCAGTAGATAGAGAAAATTTTTCTCTATCATATGATAATTTTGGTTCTCTACAAAGAAGAGGCATTCAAAAGCTCCGCTAGGTGCCGTTAACAATTTTTTTACCATATGATTGGCTGAAAGCATCGTGACGATACCCCAGGTCGAGAAAAACAAATAAGGAACGCGTTCGCCACGTACCACGCGAACGCGTTTCTGTATCGTTTGCAACGCGTTTTTTTCACGTTTGATGTTGCCACAAACGCTTCTTTGGATTGTTCTTTATAGCATATGACTCAATGGTTTCAGTTGTCTATTGTTAAAATATTAAAAATAAAATTTTATTTATTATGAGTTTTCTCTATTTTACAATCATTTCAAGTACGAAATTATAAAAAAAAGGAAAAAACACAACTAAAAACAATAGCTGAAGTAGAAAGTTCACAAAAAGTATGCGTCGCTTCATTATATGTTTCTCTTGGCTTTTGTGACGGAAATCTGCGAGGATAAAATTTCAAAGGTACTTGGTAAAAGATCAATAGGAAAGTAGACTTACGAACTTTACTATTTTCATTGCCATAAGAATTATCTAAAACGATAGAAAAAAACTAATAATAAGATTGTACAGTATAAGAGTGAGATATATTTAGACATAAACTAGTATTTTTCTCACTTTCTTGATGTACAATATCTGAAACGAAATATATATGAATTATTTTTTTTTAATCCTTTGGTTTAGGAATTGTATTAGTATATCATTTCCACTAATTATAGTAATTGCCAAACGATTCGAATATACTCTTCATCAGTATAAAAAAAGATCATAAAGTCGTCGTGAATATCTTTTCTTTTCTTAAATGAAGAACTCCATGAAATATCAATACTATATCAAGTAAAACGTAGTTATTAATCGTAGCATAAGTATGAACCGAATTGTTATTAGCGTAATAATCATCATATGCATCGTTGGTATGAACAATATTTGTAAAAAAAAAACTAACGATATATCGATTTTATTTCAGAAAAATAAAAAATCAGGTCAAAGTTTAGTCATCGAATTTATCTAAAAATGATAATGAATTACTTCTGAGTCACATTTTATTTAAAAAATAACATTTTCCACATCATTGTTTTTATGAATTATCATTAATTTTAAAAAAATCTTATCCATATATATACTTTATGATGAGAGTCATTCCTGAATTCTTTTAGCCAGCCTCTACAATGGCGACATCAGAACGTTATGAACGCGTTGAGAACGTATGCGAAACGTATTTTTATCCGTTCGTGCGTTCTTAACGGGTTTTGTCGCTGTTCGTCTCGACCTGTGACTTGTTCTTTTCATTGTTTGACTCTGACAATAAGTTCAATGCGTAGTTAGCGTCCAATGAGTGATGATCTCTTAAACAAGACAGCGGCCTATAAAACTGATATTACTAAAATTATTATATCATTTTATAAGTTCAAAATGAAGCATTAAAAGTTCTTCAAAAAGTGTCAGGTTTGTGGCGCCATCTCAAAGTGCATTTTCCGCTATTGATGATGCACTTCGCTGTCATGTGAATACGGACCATGCATCACAATTTGTTATTTATGAAATCGTGGTAATCAGTCACATAGAAACGAAATTCACGCTTCAAGAAAAGAAACGTCCATGGATCATGTTTTACCCTTTGACATGCTTCAATGTAAACTCTCGTTCGGATGCATTTATTGAGAAGACGATTTTTAATTCAAACTGGAATTTAGGTGTGAATATGGGGTGTGGGTGTGGTACTGATCGTCTATCATCCCAAGCCCACACTCACACCCACACCTACACCCATCAAGGAAATTTTCCCAAAAGTTGAACCATACTTAATCCTATAAAATGCACTAGCTTTTATTCGAAAATATCCCGGCCTCAGCAATTATAGTCGTGGGCGAAAGTTTCTTCCACTTAGAACTTCCTTGGAATTCTAGAACTTTCGTCAACCACACTATGAATAGACACCTCTCCCCAACTCCTGATCACACACATTGTTGAACGCTTTCCTTTGACTTTGATCGTGAGTATTGGGGGATCTTACTTATGGCTCTTCTGACACATTAGCGGTATGAAAGCATTTTCCTATCATACCATCCATTGGGTTCTAAGCTCAAGTCGAAAGTTGTGGCGAAAGTAATGATATGTGATAATAAGGCTCTCAAATACCAATTCAATCGGTTGGAGCGATGAAAAGATCTGGGTAATTCAAGACGATAGGGTAGCCCAGGTGCAACACCCCTAAAACAGGACCAGAAGATTGTTTCACTGGTCCAAGAAGAAACAGCCGTCACTAGTCGGAACATTCACGATAAACTGAAGGGAAAATGACAGGATATTAACGAGAGAAGAGTTAGATGACGTTTGCGCATAGCTGGAGTACGATTCAGTCGCCCACTGTCGCAACCACTTCCGACCAATGAGCATCGAAGCAATATTATGAAATGACCTCAAGCTCAGACTGCTACATGCTGGGATCGGATGAGATTTATTGATGGCACAATTGTACATCTGAATCACGTCCAAGGAATAGGCTGAACCTCGCCTGATAGACAGAGAATCATCCGAATTGTCAGGTGCTAGTTATGGTCGCTATTCGTGTTTTCGTCTTTTTTGGGCAGTATTTTGCTGATTTCGACCGAAAAAGCTTTAGTTGTTCCCAAAGCACTATCATATTCGGAGTCAATATCGAAAACTAAATCACCTTGTATGTGTTTGCGATCGTTGGTTAACATTTATCTTAGATCTGCTGATTTTGCATTTGTTGTTTCGAGTAATCTATTCTGATAGAGTATATAAAAACAAGCAAGATAATATACTTTTCGAAAATCAATGTAGAAATTGGAAATCGTGATTTCTAGTGCATACCGTGCAAAACAGTTTCTAACTGTGGACGAATAGCTACATATGGTCCTTTAGAAAACCTACAAATAGCCTTGTAGCTCTCCGCCGGTCTCTACAAAAGGATGTGAGTAATCGAAATTGAACTCGCCCATATCTACTTCCCTTTGAATATTTAAAACGAGGTGTAAGATTTTCCATAGTCCAGCAACTTTAAAAAGCGAAACGTTGGAATCCATGATTGAAATTATAACATTAAAACTTTCTATAAAGATGAGCTAAGTTTATCTTGTGGTGAATCGTTTCTAATAGGGATGCACCAGGATCAGTATTACTGAAATATTGTCATCAGTAATTCTGAGCGAGGAGCATCGGTGATACAAGTTTGCATCAGTATTGGAGTCTTCGGTAGTTCACAACTCCAACACTGATGCAAACTTGTATCACCGATGCTCCTCGCTCAGAATTATTGATGGCAATATTTCAGTAATACTGATACTGATGCATCCCTAGTTTCTAACATTAACTACAATGATATCCATCCTTTTTAGACTCTCTGTATAGTATATAATGACTAATTATAATTCAACTAATTAGATCTTGCGATCTGACAGGAACGGAAAGGATAGAGTCGAACTAGGTGTCGTCAAGCTAATACTCGAAGATGAGACAGCATTGATAAACAGAATGGCCTACCGAAGAAATAAAACAGCAGCTGCTTATCTATCCCAGGCTGGTAAGTGTGAGGTTGCTGCTTGTTCTATAAAAGGTGCCGCATTTTCATCAAAGCAAAAGGCATCAACTTGTTCAATTCGAAATCTATCGTAACTTAACTGTCATGTGGTTATTGTTGAGTCGAAAATCTAACGACATTAGCCAAGTGTATTCTTTACTCAGTATTTTATTTGTCGTGCGTCCTAGCATTATCTATGGCTTTAGTCATCACAAGAATAACTATGACTTCGATGAAGTTTATGATGGACATTTGGTTGAAGCTATCGGAAGAAACAACGATCTGTTGATTTCCGCAACACAAAATTTAACAAGGTACGACTCCAATAACTGAGAAATACCTAATGGTCATCATTCAAATTGCAGTCAC